TTTTTTTTTTTTTTTTCCAGAAGCTTCCATGAAGGTAGGTTTCTTTACCACTCATTCTTCCCAAACTAAGGAAAGCCAAGGTCAGCGGGTATTCATTCAGCATCTGCTATGTGCCAGGCACCTATTAGGTCCTTTCAGCCCTCACATTCAGCAGGTCCAATTGTCCTGTTTGCAGGTGAAACTCAGGAAGGTTAAGTAACAAACAGTAGTGGAGCCTAGTTCAGGCCAGAAGGGGAGGGGTGGGGAGATAATCAGGAGACTGAAGTGGACAGTGCAGGGGGAAGGAGTTACAATGCAGGCACCAGTTCCCTCTCCCAGAGCCCACTCCCCCTGGACTGGAGCTCCGCCCAGCTCTGCTGCTGCTCTGCATCTGGTCCCTGCCATCCCCACCCCCAGTGCCTAGGTAGAGACCCCACCTGCCTATTGCCTCCAGCCAGGTGTCTTCTCCTTCCCTCCAAGCCCACACTACTCACACAAATGAGCTGAACAAGGGTAGGTGAGGCTGAGAATTCGTTTATTAAGAATGTTCCTTGCTACCCTCTCTCTCACCTTAAAATAGTTCTCAATATAAAAAAAGAAAAAAAACAAACCACAGGTCACCCGAGTCTGAGGTTGGAGTCCTAGTACAGTGCCCCGACTCCAGGGAGGGCAAGAGGGCAGGGAAAGAACAAGAATCCAGACTCCCTGCTCCAATCACACAGACTGCCTTTGGATGGAAAGTTTCTGGAGCTTCACGTTCTATCCTTGCGGAGCACGAATGTGCCAGGGCTGCTGGCAACTAGCAGGGGTCACCTTTACCGGGGTGCAGGTAGAGCGTGGCCCCTGCCTGTCTCTGGGAAGGCCAGAAACCAGACCCAGCCACAATCCTCCTCCCCTACTCCCTCAGATTGCCCCCCTTTCCCAAGGTCCAGGCTGTGACAAAGGGGCTTAGCAGGTAGGTTACTCCGGGAAGGGAAGGCCAACCAAGCCTAGGCGAGGAGACAGAAGGCTGGAGAGGCGCAGAGGATCTCCATTTCCCCACCTCCCTCTGACTCCCAAGAGGCTGGTTCTGGAGGGTAATCTTGAGTTGTGTGTGGGCCCTCCGAGATTTGGAGGGCTGTAAAGTGGGGGCAATGGACAGAAACACACACATGCAGCCTGGACACTCGTACCCCCAGCCAGACTTTGAGGATATCCTGGCTCTCTGCCTGGCCTGGGGCCTTGTGCAGAGCTAGCGCTCAATAGGTACTTGGTGGTGGTGACTCGATACCCCATATTTCTCCAACCTGCCCCCACTGTGTGGTACACTCATGGCACTCACACTCACCCACCTGTCCTGCAGCACACACTTTAAAACCACTCACACCCCACCCCACTCTCCACCCACGCTCATACACACTGTCCCACCCAGCATCCCACACACCTCAGGCCCGTGCCCACCACTCTGTCACCTATGCACTCAGTCTGGTTCACACTCCCGTACACATTCATGTGCAGGCTCTCAACCAGAACAGCAGCAGAGGAGCCAGAGGGATTCCCGTCCTGGGCTCTGTGGGGTTCTGGCCTTGAAGGGGGAAGGAACATAGGCCTCTTGGGGGGGTCTGGCTGAAGCAACAGTCAGGGTAAGACCACTCCCCAGTCCCAGGGGCTTAGTCCCTCAAGATCCCATGGGGAGAATGAGACCAACCTTGGAACTTGGGTAGCCAAAGAGCAAGAGTCTAGTGCCACCTAGTGGTGCCCTGGAGGAGGGCAGGGGGGTAACAGGAGGGGACCCCACTGTCCCCAAAGGCCTGTGGTACCTGGTTTCCCAGATAGACAAACAGCTGTGGGAACCACCCAGGCACTGAGGGGATGTGGGGAAGAGGCTGATGGGGAGGCAGAGGCAGCTCTCCTCTTGGTGGAGCTAAGAACACAGTTCTACACCAGTTCTGCTCCAGGAACCAGAAAGGCTGCCCATTCTCTAACCCCAGATGCTGAGAGGCCAAGCCTGAACAGACTCCAAGGCCTGGGAGGGCCATGTGGGGGCAAGCAAGGGGATGGGCAGTTACATGATTCTGGGCCCACACCCTTCATGTCCAAGTTCAAGATGCTAAAAGGAAAAAAAAAAAAATAATCATCTCAAGGATTATGAGGAGAAGGGGAGCAGCGGGGAGAGGGCAGGACCCCCAGTGGGGCAGCCACGCTCCCAGGGCCTTCAGTCCAGCTTGAACTTGGCTTCTGATTCCTTCAGCAGATACAGGCTGTCATCTTCCAGAAAGCTGTGGGCAGAGGGAGGAGCCCACTGAGGTATGGCTTTGAGAGCACCCCGTGGGGGTGAGTATAGGCAGGGGGGGCCAGTGTGCACAGAGGCCTCAGTCTCCTCAAAGGAGCGGGTGAGGATGGGCACAAAGAAGGTGCACACTGGGCAGGGAGCAGCACCCACCTGAAGAACAGGACGTGGACCGGGATGGTGCTGATGTGCCAGATGGCGTGGGCGTCCAGGACCCAGAAGAAAGGCGGGAAGTCGAGCAGCTCAAGCAGGGACAGCCCCTGTAGCAGCAGGACCACCACCATGCACTTGCGCACGTGAGGCAGCCGCCGCTGGTTCCGCAGGCACCAGGCCAGCCACCACACCACGTTCACCAGGCCTGGGTGCGGGCAGGGGGTGGGGAGAGGCTCACTCCCTGGACCTCCTTCTCCCCCCAACAAAACCTCCACCAGCCTCATGCTCTTTGACCCCAGGACCACCTTCAGACTCTCCTGCCAGCCTCCCCTCTCTCCCACCCCAAATTCTTTCCCCTTCCCCCACCCTAAGGGGCTCTCTAGAACCTTCTCCAGGAACAGCACCAAATCCATACCTCCACCCCAGGCCAGCAGTTCTACAGATGGGCTGGGTCCCCCACTCCCCCATAACCCCAGGAGCCTCAGGTTCCTCCCCGTGCCTCACCAATAGCCACATTGGCCGCCAGGTTGTAGCCATAGTCGAAATGGACGAGGCTCAGGTAGGAGACATGCGCGGTCAGCATTAGCAGCAGGAGGGCCCGAAAGGCACTGGCCACAGCCGGGTGCTGCAGCCCCACGGTCCTGCCCCACCATCCAGAGCTGCTCAGGTGGAGGGCGGCCCGTGCCCAGGGCAGCATTTCCTAAACATCCCTTCACCCCGACATCAGTATGTGGAAGCCACTGCCCTCCTCCCCCCCACCAAAACAAGCCAGCTGGGCAGGCCTCCAATCCACCTCCAGGGGCCTGGGATCAAGTGCCTCTGCTCCTTGGAAAGAGCCAATTCTACCCCCCGAGCCCCCATTCAGAACAGCCTGGAGGGTGTGTGTGTGTGTTGGGGTGCAAGACCCTGGGGACAGCACCCCCAAGGTGGGTAAGGTGACCCCTTTCTGCCCCCAGTGCCTGATTTTGCCCCCACAGAGGCCAAGATGGGCTCACCTGACGCAGCACAGATAGACAGAGTGTAGGATGACGGTGGACGCACAGAAGTAATCCATTTTCTGAGGACGGGGAGAGCTGGGTGAGGGGCCAGTGTGAGGGGAGGGGAGGCGGAAAAGGTTTTGTATGGGCAGGGCCCCCAGAGGACCCACCAGGGGTGGGGGCGAAGGGGGGGGGGCAGAGGCGCAGCCGTACTCTAACATGGGGGTCCATGTCTCGTGCCCCTTCTGCCTGTTGCTGGTTCACTCCTGAATTTAACAGTCGGACCCTTGTATTCATATTCTACAACTTTTTAAAATGCATTCAGCAGCGAGGCTTTGGAGGCATCGGTGGAGGTGCCTGCCAAGACTCCAAAATACATGAGCACACCACAGAATCTGGAGCGCAGCCTTGAGTCCCACAGCCCTGCGCCCAAGAACCGGCTGCACCCTTGGGGGGGTGAGTAGTTCTGCCTTTCCAAGGTTCAGCTGCCTCATCAGTTAAGAAGAGCCAATAATCACACCTACCTCACCAGGGTCAAGTGACGCTCAAGGGCACGAATAGGTTAAAAATGCCTAGCACACAGCGAGTGCTCTGTAAATGGAGTCCCTATGAAACCGAAGAGCTGACCCCCACCTCTTCTGGGCTCCTGTGGGACTGTCCCAAGCAGGAGAGGGGCCGAAGGGGTGCTCACCTCTGTGAGGTCGGTGTCCTTGGTGTGGAAGACTGTGGACCAGAACCAAGCATTGAGGGAGACCTGTAGGGAGGGGCTGGTAAGCATGGTGTCTCGAGGTGGGGAGGACCCCTAGAGCATTCACAGGAGTCTCTCTTTGGGGAAGGGGCTCTTTGGAGCAGAGAAACATGCTTTCCCTTGCCCCTGAAGCCCACAGAACAAACCCGTGCCCTCAGCTTCCCAGAACCCTGAACCCCCTGGGCCATGGGGGCTGCAGCCTCCACAGGTTCCGGCCTGGCCTGGGAACCAGTTCCCAGTTCCGGCACATCCAAGTTCCCTGCTTACTCAATCGCTAAGACAACAGCCCCTGGGGGGATCTTGCCTCCTCCCCCAACTGGCAGGTGATGACAGCCCCACCCTGGCCAGGGGAGCCAGTGACCTCAGCCTCTGGGGGCGGGAATGAAGTGGGTGGGGTGGAGGGGCTCGAGCCAGCTTGGGGTGTGTCCCGAGGAAAGCAAGCAAGGGAGGGAGATCAAGCAGATCCCACTGGGGCCAAGTCTCTATGGAGGAGGCTGGCCAACTGAGCCCAGCTTCCTCCTGGGTGGCCCAGCCCAACCTGCCAGACCAGTGGCTGCTGCTCTGAGGCTCTGGGAGGAACAGAAGGTTGAAGGGGCTGTGGTGGGCAAGGGCCCAGGAGACCATTCGAGGCCTTTTCCCTGGAAATTAACTGCAAGGAGACAGTACAAAACATCTTGCAAATGAGTCCTAGACCTTGTGGGAGTCAGCGCTGTATCCATGGTAGAGGCCCAAATCACTGAAAGAAGGGCGGGCTAAGGTGGAGGTTCCCTACACTGGGCTGGGAAACTAGTGACAACTGGTCAGAGGAAAAAAACCCGGCAGCCTGAGATCCGCCCTAGAATGCCCTAGAGATAGAGAGGGATGCCCTAGGGTGGGACAGGCCTGCCAAAGACAGGTAAAGGCCAGGAGCTGCTCACTTGGGTCCGGGACAGCAGGAAGACTGGCCAGGCACAGGACAGAAGAAGCAGGGAAGAGGCCTCTCTATCCAGTCCTGCAGCAGGGTCAGACAGTGGGATGGGTTCCCTATCGCAGGCCTGAAGGGGCTTATGAGAGAAAGGGAAGAGCAAAGGGGTGGAGGCAGGCAAGACTCTGTGCAAAGCCAGTCAGCACTAGAGGTCTCTGGAAGCTCAGGTAGCCCCATGCAAGCCTGTCTGGCCTGGGTCCTAGGCTGCATCTCTCGGCTTATGTTCCTCATGACCTGGACAAAGGCCCTGCCCTCTGGGCCTGAGCTTTCCCCTGTGACTAGTCAGGAGCTAGCCTAAGTGATCCTTTGTCCCTTTCCAGCCCTGACATCAGGTGATTATTCTAAGTCTGGTTGCTTGCTCTTTTGAAGATGGCCATCCAGTCCCATCCCTGGGTCTTCCCCAGAGACGGTATATGAGGCATGGTCTGGAGGCTGGAAAACGGGACAGAACAGGGTGGCTTCTCAGACACTGCTCCCACGAGGTCTGTGACGCTCAGGGTCAGCATGGAGAGAGGAGCAGACTTGGGGCTGGAGACGGAGCCCAGGAGATCACATGGGCCAGGTCTCCAGGGAAGGCCAGGAACAGGGACACTCTTGGGGTGGAGAATGGCCCCGGAGCCAGTATGAGAGGGAGGTGGAGGGGAAGGCAGCAGGGACTGGCAGCCAACCAGGCCTCCTTGTCACCCACAGCAGGAAGGGAGAGGTGACAAGAGGACTGAGCTAAGTGGTGGCTGGAACACTGGAAGCAGGGGAGAGGGAGCACAGGGTCAGGGCTTAGCTCTACAGGATGGAATGGGAACTGCTTGGTCCCCTGTCCAACTGCCTCCCCAGGGTGCCTCCCACTTATAGAGACCCACCTGAAGCCTGGACTCTGCACCCCTGAAATGTCCCCTCTCCCCTGGGAAGTGTCCCATTATGAGGGACTCCTCTTCTGGCCCTCTCCTCAGACTTGGGAGATAGTGTCATTAAGAATGCAAGGCCAAGGGTCAGACTACCAGGGTTCAAATCCTAGCTCTGCGTTTCCCGTGTGTCCTTGGGCAAGTTATTTAGCCTTGCTGGGCCTTGGTTTTCTCCTCTGTAAAATGGGAATAATCATAGTTTTGACAAGGATTTAATGAGCAATACAAACACAATGTATAGCACAGTGCCCAGGACAGGGTAAACCATTAGGTGTTATTTGTTCCCAGTTTGTTGAGCAGAATGGGACTCTCACATCTCTCCACAGACCTGAAGCTAAAGAGGCCAAGTCTGCCTCCCACTCTCCCTGAAGGCCAAAGGAGTCCAGGGGGAGAAGAGGTGGTCTCCCCACGGCTGCCTTGGCCCACCCCACTGTTCGTGCTAGAGGCAGAATTTCCAGAGCCTCCATAATAAGACGGACCCTGGATTCAAGTTCTGCCTCAGCCCCTAAATAGCTGTATGATCTTGAACCAATAACATCCCTGAGTCTCAGTTGTCTCATCTAGCATATGGGGTTAATAATAATAATACCCACTGCATAAGAGGGTCCTGAAGATGATGTCTGTAGAATGTCTGGCACAAAGAAGCCACTCAATAAACAGCTGCTGTTACGGCTGCCTGGCACATAGTAGGTATTCCCATAAATGTCAGTCTCCCCCCAGGAGTCACAGAAGAGATACTGTTTCTCTTCACTCAGAGTTTGTAATCAAGACTCAAGCAAAGGGGACAGACAGACGGGGAAGGAAGGGAAAGGTTCCAAGCCTCAAGTGTATGGCTGCTCCCAGACTCCTCAGCCAAGCTTGAGCAGAATGGGGGGAGGTAGATGGTAGCTGGCCAATCAGACAGGCCAGGAGGGTGCTGGGCTGCCCAGCAGGGCCCCAGGAGCTTTGTGTAAACACTGAGGAAAGGGGGAGGCCAGGGGCAGGGTGCCAACAGGGTGGAAATGGAAGGGGACAGGGAAGGCTGGGTGAGGGAGAGCGGGAGGCTGTTTCAGTCTGTTGGAAAATAAGAAAATTGAGACAAAAATATCACAGCCGTGAAACTGGTTGGATGCCAAATGAGCCAGATCTGTCAGGAATTCGACCCCAGTGCTAAGCCCCAGTGCTCGGGGCTGTCATTGACACCGTGGTGGTGGGGACATGTGGGTCTTTAAATAGCTCAGTGTCTCAGAAGTGGGGGAGGCAGAATGTTAAATATGACGCCTGCTGCCACCCTGCCCCCCTCCCAGAGGCCACAGTGTCTCATCCCCTGCCTCAGTCAGGGCAACCCTGCTCCGCTTCACTCCTGAGAGAGAAGAGGGGAAGAGGCAGATGGAGTTGGGGGAAAGATGGCTTCTTCCACCATCAAAAAAAGATTCCTTGATTTCCTGCCATTCTCTGACCAATGGGAAGTCCTTCCTGAAGTCTAACCATCCTTCTGCTGCAGACTCAACCTGTCTCTTCTGGTAGTTTCCTCAGCAGAGGTAGAGCACAGTCAGTCCCCACCTCCATCAAGCATCCTGCAGAGACGGTTTGGGCTTTGCTGGCACTCTCATCCTCTCACCTCTACTTCTCAGGACCTTTCTTCACTGGGCAAAGGGGAGGGAAACTGGTTTGGCCTCCTGGCTCTACAGACAGCAGGGGCCCCCAGCTCCCTGAAGTCAAAGGTCTGTGATGTGCAGAGCTTTGGCAGCTTCCCAGCCCAAGCCCAGATCCAAATGTCAAGGCAGAGGCTCCCTCCTGGTGCCAGCTTCATCAGCCCTGCTGGGGCAGGGTCTCCTCATTTCCCAGGAAAAAAGACTGAGAGAACCCCCTGCCCACCCCACTGCCCAAGACTGAACCTGGAAAAGGCCTTCCCGTCCTATCCCAACAGAAATCAGGAGCCCCACTCGCTCCAGAAGACCCAGCCCAAGACAAAGTCCACTGCCACACCCTCCATTCAGCTCAGGATCCCTCCCTCCTATAAACACAGGTGCACAGGACTAAAGATCAAGTGTACAATCCAGACTGGGTCATCAGAGGGAGTGTGGACACTGAGACTCTGTCCCTCAAGGACCTAGTGATAGCATGAGGAGGTTCTATGTCCCAGAGCCCCATATTCCGTAGGATGTCCTAAGACACGGGCCCCAGGTATCTGCCCTCTCTCAATCTAACATCTCCTGCTCTGTCCCTCAGGGTCCTCGGTCACACTGGACTACAAGGGTACTGGGAGGCGTGACCCTCACCAAGAAGGAAGCTGAGTGGCACATGCCAGTGAAATGAAAGACCCACGAATCAGGGAGATCAAGACAAGTGTTGTGACGTGATCACTGGCAAGGGCTGGGACCCTCTGAGGTCCCTCAGACCCATGCATCTCTCCAAGGAGGCTGTAAGCTTTGTTCAGGGAGTTCAGGCAGGCAGGGCTGTCCAGTGCTCTCAGGCAGGGCTGGGGGCGGGGGTTACAGGCTGTGGGCCCAGAAAGCAGCGACCCCTGGAAGAACCCCAAGGGACAGGTGTACTCTCCTCAGCTTCTCTGCCCTTCCTGCTTTCTTGGCCAGGACCAAATTCTTTCCTCTGAGAGAGGCCTAAACAGGAAGTGGTGGTTCTATCCCTCCCGGGCCGGTGACAGGGCATGCGGATGCCAGCCCCCTGCCTATGCGAGAGCTCCTGCCCCTCAGCACTCGGGGCCCTCTCTGTGCCACCTCACCTCCCTCCACCGCCTTGCACTCAGCCACACTGCAGCCAGGCTGACCTTTCCAAGGCTGCCTATCCCGGTGCCCACATCCTCCAGCTTCCATCCCATTGCTGCTGCTGGGCCACCAGCCTGGAATGCAGAAATCCAACCTCTTCTCCCCTCATCTGTATGCGTCTAGGCCTTATCGGGCCTGTGAGTCCCCGATGGAGGCCCTCTCCCTCTCTGGGCTTCCCTGGAAGGCTTCTCCACTTAGAGGACACGTCTCCCCACCTTACTACTTCGAGGGCTCTCTACCAGAGCCCTCCTCGGCTCTGCCTGCATTCTGCCTCCTGGGCCAGCTGGACCAGCGCTTCCCACCAGGCTTAGCTTCTTGAGGCAGGTGCCTCAGTTCCCACAAGTGCTAACTCCCGCCTCTACCCACAGCAAATGCTCAACAGACATTTATCATGGAGACAGCCCAGGAGAGGGGCTAAGTGCTCTGACAGCCCTGGGGTCAGTCCTGTCTCCACCAGTCACCAACTTGGGAGCTGGTGACTTTGACAAGGTTTTCCCTCTCTGAGCCTTACTCAGAGCTCACGGTGGTATTATGAGGATTGAATGAGAAAAGTATATGTAAAGTACTTAGGACAATGCCTGTTACGCAATTCATATAACACTTATTATTAATATTTGTTAAACAGAAAAGATTACGAGGGATCAACATTTCCCAGAGGCTTAACAGCCTCCCCGCCCCTGCCCTCCTTCCAATCCCCAGCTCCTAAGTCTGAGGCTTGGCCTGGACTTCTTAGCACCCCCACACTATCAGTTTTCCTAAGGTCCTCAGAGACCTCAGGGTGGCCAGATCCAGGGTGTCCTAAAGTTCTCTTGATTGTCCAGCAGAATTCAAAAGGACGGCCTACCCTCTCCTCCCTGTTCTTGTCCCAGGGCTTCCCAACCACACGGTATCCTAGTTTTCCACCTACCCCTCCAGCCACTCCTGACTCTGTCGCTGGCCCATCCTTCTTGATCTAATCATTATGTTTGGGGCTCCTCAGGGCTCTATCCTAGATCCCTTCTCTTCTTGCTAAGCTCCCCTTGGTGATCTCATGCACACTCATGGCTTCTATCACTCGCTCATAAGTGGGAACACCGGGTTATTCCTGATTCCTCTTTCCTCATCTAACCTACGACTGAGGCTTGTCAACACAGCTAAGATAGTAAGAGTGCAGACTCTGGGGGCACCTGGCTGGCTCAGTCAGTAGAGCATGTGACCCTTGATCTCAGGGATATGAGTGAGCCCAAGCCCCACGCTGGGCATGGTGTCTACTTAAAAAAAAAAAAAAAAAAAAAAAAAAAAGTGCAGACTCTGGAACCAGATGCCTGGGTTCAAACTCTGGCTCCTAGGGCAGGTTACTTAACCTTTTCAGCCCTTGGTTTCCATCTGTAAACTCGGGATAATAATACTACCTATCTCATAAGCTATTTATGCGATTAACAAGGTTAATATTTATAAAATGCTTAGAATGGTGCCTGACGTACAGTAAGAGCTATGCATGGGTTTGTTAAATAAATAAAATAAATGAAAATTTTTAATGTCAACTCAAAACATAGCTCAAACATAGTTCTCTTCAATAACCCCCCTTCCCCCCCCACCAGTCTGGCTACTGTGCCCTACGCTAAAACTAACTAGCTGCCTGCATCCACTCTTACCCCTCTAATCTGTTTGCTACACAGTAGCCAGAATGAGTTTTCCAAGCAAATCTATTCATGAAACCTCTTCTCTCCGACCCTCATTGCTTCCTGATGCTTTGAAAGTCCAGATCTAAAGTGTTAATGTGCCCCCCAGGCTCTCCATGGGCTAGCCCCATTCACTGTCTACCTGCTTACCTGTCGTACCTACTCCCTGGCTTCCTGTACGGCCGACCCCCTAGCCTTTCAGGTTCTCACTCTCTTCTGCCTGTCCACATTCTATGTCTTCTATGTAGATGACTCCTCCTACTCTCCCTGCATTCACCTAGCTAACATTCATTCATCATTCCAATCTTACCTCAGAGGCCCCTTCCTCAGGGAAGCCTTCCCTGATTGCCCTGTACTGGTCTAGTACCCCATCACACACCCCAACAACACATCTCCACTGCACTTTCCCCAGAACTGTACTTTTACGTTCAGTTGTGTGCTTGTGTGGTTACTACCGGAGGAACCTGACTTTTTGTTTTTGTTTTTGTCTTTGTTTTGTTCAAGTAAGCTCCACCTCCAATGTGGAACTTGAACTCACGACCCTGATATCAAGAGTTGCATGTTCTATAGGGCGCCTGGGTAGCTCAGTCGGTTAAGCATCTGACTCTTGATTTCAGCTCAGGTCTTGATCTCAGGGTTGTGAGTTCAAGCCCCTCACTGGGTTCCATGCTGGGT